ATGTTGTTACTTTGGGTTTTTTTTTTACTTTTGGGGCACGGGATTTGAGGGCCTTTTTCCTTACTCTTCCCTTCACAGAACATCAGAAGAAGCTGACCAAGAAGAACTAATTGAAGAGAAGTGATAAATAAAAATAATTTTTGAACCCTCATTTGTTGTCCCGTGTCCTCAAATATGTTGTGTCCTTGGCGGGACGTAACACCATCTCAGCTCAGAAAAGTCTCTTCAGTTATCTCCATTATCTTCCACTCAGATGTTACTGGAGAGGAAAGTGAAAGAGAACATGATAAATGATAAAGATTGGTTCTGGATCGGACTGACGGACTCAGAGAAAGAAGGCAGCTGGGTTTGGGTGGACGGATCTCCACTGAAGGAAAGGTCTGATTGCTCTCAGAACATTTGGTTCGTTTTAAAGGTTTAAGTCACTCAGGTTTACTGAACTCTGTTTTTCTGTTCTTCATCTCTTAGTTTGAGTTTTTGGGGAAACAACGAGCCTGATGGTCAGGGTGGAGGACCAGACTCAGAGGTGGACTGTGTGAGAGCAATAAAGGAAGGAAACTCTATCAAGTGGTTTGATGGATATTGTAAACAGAGTCTAAGAAGTATTTGTGAGAAAATAGCAGAGACTCAGCTGTGTTTTTGTTTGTGAAGTTTAGTCCAGAAAACAGCCTTTGATCTCTGAAAAGAAACACATTTTATAAAGAAAAATTTAAACTAAGTTTGTCAACAAACATGTTAACAGAAAAATACTCTGATTTTAACAGATCTTTGCCATATTTTTATTTGCTACATCTGCAGAACTCCTATAAAAGATATGAAAATTAATAAAGGTTTTGTAATTTTTTTTCACTGTAATTATTTAACTTGTATCACGTAGGTTTATATCATCAACTTCGCATCATTATACTATATTATATTCTCATTTGTTCTCACGACTAAAATAAATTAAATAAATGCACTGTGTGTCCTCACAACTCACTGCTTTGACCATTGTCAGTTGTCCTTATCAGCTCGGTGTTCAATGTACAACAGTTCAATGTAAAGAGTTTTTTCCGCTTTATAGTAATTTTTCCTGCTGTTCAGAATTTTAGCCTACAGTGTCATGGATTTGGTTCTGTTTAAGTTTTCTTTTTGAGTTTTGATTGCTTTTAATTCCATTTTGTATTATTCGAGTTGTTTTTGGTTATTTCAGTTCTTACGTATGTCTTGTTTACCCTCTGTTGCCCTCTTATTTCAGTCTCCTTCTCTTAGATTCCTTCTTGATCCTTATGTCCACACCTTTTACTGTATTTGGGTCCTCTTCAATCCTCCACTCAAACTAACACACAGTACATGGTGGAGCTTCTATTACATGCAGTGGTGGAAAGTAATAAAATACATTTACTTGATTACTGTGCTTTTTTGAGTATCTTTACTTGACTAACTTTTGGGGTATTTTCAGAAGTGAGTACTTCAATACTTTAACATGAGTAGATATTTGATCGAGTAACCTTTACTTGTAATTGAGTAGGATTTGACCAAGTATTAATACTTTTACTCAAGTACTACTGTGGAGTGCTTTGTCTACCACTGACTACCTGCTTCTCTTTGGGGTCTTATACAGCGAGAAGCTATTTATGTAAAAAACATGAATAAATAACACACTTACCACTGATAAACACAGACATACCCGTTCATTCCTCTTTTTTTCTGGAAAAACAACACCATCACATGCATGAGTGCTATCCTGTGATTGGGGGGTCGGGAATTTATTAATTTTAGAGGAAAATTGGTTTTGCATATTTTTTAAGATTGGAAACACAACACATATAATTCCTACTAACAGCACCATCATATTAAATGATTTTTACATTCAGTTATAACTACGGTGACCAGACGTCCTCGATTTCTTGGGACAGTCTCTGCTTTGGACCACCTGTTCCCGGAAATGTCCCCGATTTCACAGTTTTATAAGTGAGGGGGAAAATGTTGTGTGTTGACTGTTATTACAGTTGAAAGAGCACATGAGCGTGTTGTGCACAGAAACAGCTGTTAGCTAGCTGGTTTGCAGCTGTTAACGTATAGATGAGGAGCAGAGCAACACATTTCTCTGGAGTTTCAGAACTTTTAGAGCCAAACTGGACGAGAACCATGCCCTGGGTGTGAGACTGAGGGGACCCCTGCTGTGAGACTGAGACAAAGAGCCCCTGACTGCAGAGCTGCAAAACTGGATCAAACTCAAGCTTTCCAAATGGACATGGAAAAGGTTTGCAGGTCTGGCATGATTAGGGACAGAACAAGCAATGTGTCTTTTGATGATGCTAATCATATCGTGTGTTTACGGCTGAGTAAAGACAACGCTAATTGATGCTAAAGAATGGACTGCATGCTGCGCTGTGCTACAGGAATATGTATTGAGCTGTTGCTAAAGTTTGGACAAGCTTTATTCACTAAGGGTTTAAACACTGATATAACATTAGTGTTCATGTGTTCCTCAAATGCTCATTACATTTTCATTACCAAGTATGACCAAGAGTCATTTAGTGGAATTCTACTGTCCATTCGCTGCTAGCTATTTCAAGGAGGTTAAAGAATCATTTAACTAAAGGTTATTGGTTCTTGATTAAGCAAATCATTTAATAAAATATTATTTGGCCAAATACTGTTTTATTCACCTCATGGATTTGCATTGTGAATTGGTCTGAAAACATTCCAATTTCTTTAAAATTAGTGAAAAGCTAATTTGATCAGATCCCAAATTATTCCAGATAAACTTTGTGTCATGATTGGTTACAGAGTAAACCCAACATGCAGAACACAAAAGGAGGCTGATGAAAAGTTTAACAAGGTTTATTGAAAGTCTGCAGGGATGACAGTTCAGTTAGCTCAGGGAAAGATTCTCAGGTTTACTAGGCTCAGGCTGCTAACCAAACTAGATCAACACTGCAGCGTTGAGGCAAGGTCTGAAGGCAGGTTATATACTGGAGGATCCTCTGATGATGAGATGCGCCACAGGTGTGTTGGAGGCTCAGCTCAGGAGGACCCACGGCGCACTCTGCTGGAGGAAGGTGGTACAGCTCCAGATCCCAACAGTACCCCCCTCTCAACGACCGCCTCTTGGCGGTCCAGAAGAAGTCGACGGGAGGGAGCGCTCATAATCCTCTATCAGAGACGGATTGAGGATGTAGGAGCCAGGAACC